CAGTCAAGAGCAAGCATAATTGATAACCCTAGATAAACTGCGCGAAAAACAACCATCGTTATCTATCATCAAACATAAAACAAGACTTTTATCCGAACCCACACGGATGGACAGGACGAGCATTATCAGTTGCCTGTTTCGCTTCTATCCGGGGAGACAACGATATACGCAGTTCTGACGTTTGTGTGTATCAGGTTCAAATTGGAATAGCTCTGGGGCATGCATCACGGACTCGCACTGAGCGGAATTGAGTTCCAAACGATAGCTGTTTTCAGCTCATGTTTCCCGACAAAGCCGCCGTCGGTCGCCCACGGCATCATAAAAGGTCCGTGGCAACTCTGTTTGGATTCGCTCCGTCGCCATGACAACGCTAATTGTGAAACAGAGCTATGCCTTTGTCTTGCTATCCTGAATAGACTAAGGCCTTCTGGAAATGTGAATATATTGACATTTCATATTGCTTCGGTCGCATATGCGCAAGAGCGTTTCCATTGTCTAAACGTTAGTAAGCAACTAATATGCGCAAGGACGTTTCCATTAGCCAAACGTTAGTAAGTAATTATGCCACACAATGCCTTCCTTTAGACGTATAAATTCCACGCACTTGCACATTTCAAACTGCAAGTATGATCAAGGCCGAAGTATGATAACAAGACACAATATATACCTAACAAATGGCAACTACGCCATTTTCTAACTGGCCAAAAATAGCTAGCGAATCACTCTACGGCATCGTCGGAAAAGCTCACAATGTCTTCAAAAACCGGTGTAATAAAGATGAGCTTAGAGCCCCTTCTACTCATTTAATTACCTCTGTACCTGCCCCAAACTACAAATAGCACAGCCACTTGGCCATCACATAATCAGTCCACTGCACGGGACCTCCAGCATTACCAACCGCACGTATTTCGCTGATTATATTCCCCACCGCTGCCGTCTCAGCTGGCTCAGTGGCGGAAGCGACCGTGGACCTACCCTTCATTACACTCGTCGCGGGAGTAATTTACGGCCCGCGGACCGGCCATGCATCAGGCTAACGAAAGCAGAGCCACTGCCCGCGGCTCTACGGAAGATAATGGGCATTGGACTGGCCGGATTTACGTGGTTTTAAGGTCGTGACGAAAACACGTGGGATGCACGGAAACAAGAGGCGCTCAGGATAATTAGTTCCGAAAATAGTGATCTAAGAGATGTATTCATTAGCAAATAGGTTGAGGTTGATGTTTGATAAAAAACACGGATCCGATCACAACCGTGGTTTCTCAGCCAGTTAGGTACAAGGAGCACAAGCAAGGCGATCCATGACGTCTAGTTCACCGCATCCGTGCCGAAGAACGGTTTGGCCATACGCCATGTTGGCAGGAACTCATTCGCAAGATCGCCTCGCACTGACATCCTCCAACATCCAGCTAACACATCCAGCATCCAGCTCAAACCTGAAGGCAATTGCAGCTTCTGACACCAGGTGACTGTTTGTTGGCTGTTTGTGTTGTTTTGAAAATCGACCGATGACCAACGACTCACCCGGCGCAACTTTTGGGCAGTCCCGGACCTCTTTTTCGATAGGCCAGGAAACATCCCCGCGCTAATGTATGGTCACTCCTTGGTAATGCTCCAAAATTACAACCTTCTTCCTTCAGAGATGCAAATAATCGCGTATGCGAAATAAAATAAGCGTAAGACAAGTGCTTGACTGGTTTATGGTTTGATGTTAAAACATGCAAATTTTCTTCCGTGTTCCAGCTTTCAAGACAACCCATCCAGGAGCCGATTAAAGACCACTCATTCTCTAATTTTGACGGCACACAGCTGCGGGCGCTACCAACTTTAATATAAACCGGAGAGAACTCCATTACATCGCTTATTTGACGTAAACTTGATGAGTCATGAGCCGTTTATGCTGGACGGCCGGAAACGACTATCCAAATCCATTAGTGTGGAAAATGGTTAGTTTTAAAATACACACTAACCATAGAAGGTCACAAGAAATAAAAAATGAACTAATGGTGAATTAGAATTACAACTGCTACCTAAGAAGTAGCAGCGTTACAAACGATTAGCCGCAGCTAAGAGAATTGGGCTCGATTTATTTTAAATCGTTTGATTTGACATCTTCACGTTGCAAGTCATTTGTAAGTCGTCAGCTGTTGTATAAAGCCATTCTCTTCCAGTTTTTTAGCCGGTCTATCACTTAATCATAATTGATTCAACAAGCCAGTTAGCACAATGTGTTGTTATGTGATGATTAATGGTTCATCTAAATGAATAACTGGTTCAAGAGCTACTCTGAAAGTCCAAAGAAGCAGTTCTCTGGTTAGTTGCTTTGTTCGACATGCAACTGTCGTAGCTGTCAAGATCTGCCATGTTAGCTTCAACATTTGAACACGTATCTGTTCATTAACCCTCGCACGACCAGGCCATTTCTCATAACACGAACGACCAGGGGGGGGGGGTTGTTACGACCCCCCCCTGGCGTTTCGAAACGGAAGGTCGTAGAGCTTAGCGGAAAAAAACAACGGATTGCTCTCAACGAGATCTCGCGATTGGTGGTATATTTTTTGGTCCTAGGTCAACATTTGACCTACTTATGACCGGTCAAAGGTCAAATTTTCCGAAAAAATCAAACTTTTTCAACTTTCCGCGGCGATTGCGGCAAAACGGTGGGAGATATCGACTTGAAACCTTCACTATCGTGTTCCTTGATCAATTTTCTATCGTTTGGTATGTATTTCGTTTCCCTAGCTCTAAAAATAGCGCGTTGGGAGCGCCGGAAGTCGGCAAGGTCACAGTCGGCGGCAGAAATTCGAAAAATCAAAATTTAAATTTTTGAAATCTGATTGTATTTTTGGATTTGGGAGGTCCATTTGCTCCCTATAGAAGCTAATATTGCTGCATATTCCCATTGAGGTGACAAGAATTAGCAAAATAGTGGTTCGGGCGCTTTTCAAAAATAGTACCGGACGCTGTTCCTCTTGTGACGTCATAGCTCCGTGACCTGACCTGACCCGGTCAATTTTCTTGCACCACACGATAGCCAATGCTTGCCCCAACATGCATGGGAAGTTTCATCATGATCCATCAAACAATGTGGGCATCACCGGCAGAAAACCTAGGGATTCGGCGCACACGTTTGGTAACTGTCGGCCGGAGGCTGTACCTCTTAGGACGTCATAACTCCGTGACCTGACATGACCCGATCAATTTTTTTCGGCAAAAGATGCGCAAAGGTTGCCCCAGAGGGTATTGAAAATTTCAGCCCGCTACGACAAGCCGTTTAGCGTGCACCTCGAAAAAACCTCAGGGGGGGTTGATACAACCCCCCCCCCCCCCTAGGCGTTCTAGGGTTAAATAGACACCACCAGCTTCCACCCTGCTCGACACTTGCCAGTCTTCATTTTTAAACAACAAAGCAATACCATTAGGTATGTACTATCACACACGTTGCAACCCTTTCAAAGCAAAGAAATCCCGTGCCCCGTGGCTAAAACCCATCCGACTCTGCGCCAAGTGGTCGAACCTCGAAGGTCACGGGGAGGATCGCAAGCGACAGCCTCCGCTTACGGTCAGCCCATCGTCACCTCGCGTGGACGCAATCTGCATAGCATGAATCGAAATGGGCCCACATGGGCAGCACGCCAGCTGGCAGAGCGCGGCCCGGGGACCGTCAACCGACACTAACCCCGCGCCCAAGTCCGATCCGCCAATCATTCAGCCCCGGCAGTGATTCATAAGTGGCCACGACCACAGCTGCTGCCGGATAAACTGTCAGACGAGAAGTAGTTTCAACGCACGATGCGCGTCAGCTTTTCTGACAGTTCATAAGCTTTCTACGTCTGGGCGGTGATTGATATACGCTCAGTTGAGGGTGATGAATTCATTAGTCAGCTGTCCAGAGCTCATGAAGATGGAGCTTGTTGAGAGCAATGAATAGTGACGTTGAAAGGTTTAAATTAAATCGGGCAGTGAATTTACAGTGTCAGAAACGTGGTAAGTGACAATCAGCGGTATGTTCGAAAGAGGATCGCGTCGGGACTATACGGGCAAATTTATCTTTCCGAACATGCAGCATTGCAGAATGTCGATACGTTAGAACCGAGGGCGACTCAGTGCGACACAATCATTCCATTTCATAGAATGTTTAGAATAAGAGTATGGTACACAAACTACACAAACGGGTGTGAGTAAATTCAGCATTACCGTTCAAATTACCCTTGTCAAGCTTCAATTTAAGGCCATTACAAGTTTCCAAAGTAAAACTAGTCCATCAGTTTCCCAATGTCAGCCAGACTTCAACCCCAGTAGCGCAGCGTCAAATTCCATTCTACGACACATTCTCATGCCATCGGCACATTCTACAAACTCGTGTCGCCAGCCTCTTGGAACATTCATCACTTGCCGTGACGTTTCTGAGTCTACACCATTAGTCGTCCCACGAGCCTCCATCCGTCTGAGCCAGCCCGTGCCGACATCCCATGCCGTGCATGGCTCCGCCTATCCACCTTGCACCAGCATTGGTGCCAGGTTTCACCACCCCTCTGCATCACCAGGCCACCGGACCCCGCCGGCACCGCGGCCGGCCGGCCGGTCAGGTCGGGTCGGGTCGATCAGTCGGCATCACCTAATGGGGTCGACAGGGGGCCACACGCACGGCGGGCGGACGTAGCGCGCCGTAGCCGAGCACGCCACGAGGACGGAGCGGGTGGCGAGCACGCCAGCGTGCCAGGTACCGCTGGGGTGGCGGGCAGTCGGAAGGATGGAGTTGTGTGGCTGACAACTACCGAGGATCTGCAAAGGACAACAGAGGATGCTATTCAATAGGAAATTGTCATCCCATGCAAGATATGCCGCTTCAAAACAGTGGTGGTTTTAAAGTTAAAAACACATACGCGTCCATCTTTTTCTCGTGGGTTCTTATGCAGGTTGTTCACACCCAAAAATGCATTATCACACTACAGCGGAAGCCTCCCGCCGTGGACCCCGCCAGCGTTTGAGTGACTCACTTGTCGGAGACCTGCGGGCCGGGGTCACAGCCGACGGCAGCGATCTCGAACCGGTAGCTCTTCCTCTTCTCACAGCTGAGAGGCCGGCGGGCCTGAATCACCGCCTCGCCGGTGCTCGCATCGGTGGACACCACCTGAGGTCAGAGGTCAGAGGTCAGAGGTCAGGTCAGGTCAGGAAAGGTCGAAAGAGGTCAGGTCACAAGGTCACACATAGTCACAGGACAGAGAGGTGGCACACAACGCGCTGAAAAGACCACAAACAAACGCGCTTTTAAGCTAAATCATCAAAGATAGGAGGCAAACAGATCAAAGGGTCAAAACAGGTGTTCGTCGCTTGCCGCCAAAGTCTGTCATATTGGTATAAAACGAAGACCGAAATAGCACATGGAACTGCAGTCGTTTACGATCGAGCTGAACGCCATCGACCAATCGTGCGACGAACTGCACTCTCTCGATAACGGGCCAGCTATGAGACATAAATCAAACCCAAAGATCACAGCTCGCAGACAACAGAGGTCAAACCGGCCGGCCGGAACCGGTTCACTGCTGTTGTGACAAAAACGGTCACGTGTCAGACAAATCCTACATAAACAACCAAGTAACACGAGTATTGAGTACATAGATCACACAGAAGATGGAAGGCGATATGATAACTTCGCTATTTAACCTGTACCGCAAATGTACCTATAATGACATTTGACGTCAGAACAAGCTAAGTCCCAGGCTGACAGCAAGTAGCCAATACATCTTCCATCTCGCCAACCATGTCCGTTTTCACACTCCAGAAGCCTTCCCACGTGTGCAATTACTTTCCGACGCGCGCGAGATCCTCCAAATCCCATAATGCCATCAACGGCCACACCGGTCTGGCTTCAACAGATGAGGCCAGCCAGAACCGGCACCTGAATATATGAGGTGCGAACTAAGCCGGCCGGTCTGCCCGGGAGCTGGCGCAAATCCTACCCACCGACCGGCGACCTGCAGAGGGTTTGGACACCGCTCGAAGCGCGGCTGCAGACCGCACCCCCCCCCCCCTCCAGCAGCCTCCCCGTCCCAGAGCTGTCGCAGCTGTTCACCGGAGCGGCAGGGCGTTAATTGGCAGCGCCGGCGCCGTCTCTGATGGCACTAATTCTCCGGTCGGCAAACGCCCGGCACGGCTCATAGCCGAATTACGCTCCGACCCAACACCCGGCTGCGCGTAATTTAAATACGGCCTCCGGGGATCCTGAGCGGGCGCAGTTTCCGCCCTCGGAGCCGCGCAGAATTCTGATCAGACCGGCCGGTAATGTCAGTCGGAGACCCGGATGGGGCCAACGAGCCAGCTAGGGGTCACATCCGCTGAGTCAGGCGGAGACCCAGCCGGACTTACAGACTGGGCGTCCAGGGAAATTAAGAACATGTGCCCACTGAGATGAGCTTATGGGCTGAACGTAAATGGATCCATCTACGACTAATGACAGAACTGAAGAGAATTTCACTGGAATATATCAGCCTACATCAACATGGCATGTTCGCCCAAATTACCCATACATTCCCATCCCCCCCTCTCTCTCTCTCCTTCTCTCCTTCTCCCCCTTTTTTTCTCTCTATCTCTCTCTCTCTCTCTATCTCTCTCTCTCCTCTCTCTCTCTCTCTCTCTCTCTCTCTCTCTCTCTCTCTCTCTCTCTCTCTCTCTCTCTCTCTCTCTCTCTCCCTCTCCCCTCTCTCTACGCACCTCGAAGGGTACATCGCCGTGGTGTTTGTTGACGATGCGGAAGCCGCAGACGGCAGCGCCTACGGCTCGGATGGGCGGCGATACGTCCACCAGGCGCTGGTCCTCCCGCACCAGGCCGTGGTAGCCGTCCGAGGGTGACACCAGGTCCAGCCGTGGCCGGGACGACCCTGTGGAAGATGAGAAAGAAGGGGAGTTAGAGGGTGTGTCGGGCGGAGTGGGTGGTAAAGTGACAGATAACCTTCCATTTCTTCCAGTACTGGTGAGATCGGGATCGCTGAAGCCTTTGTGGACGCCATTTGCACCCATATAAATATTCAAATATTTAATCATAGCTTTCACGTGACGACAATCAGCTCTAAAGACGTGCATCATATTTCAATGACAAAGGTTACCAGAACCGCAACACTTCTACATATTCTTCCATCAACCCTACATCTCTAACAACACACAGCCCTTTCAACATTTCGTCGTCCGTGTCACATCGCGGTCCAACATCCAGCAGCGGCGACCCGCGGGACCCGCGGCCCATCTCCGTCTGGAGCTGCGCCGCTCAATCCATCACGGAGCAATCACTGTCGCCGTGGACAGGAGGCCAGCCGACGAAAAACGCGCCGAGATCGCAGCAGCAGCGCCACGGTCGTCGCCTCTGCGCCACAGACGCCGTCCGTGTCCGTCAACAGGTGGCGATGTGGCGGAGCGCCGGCGAGACACCATTGTGGCGAGAAGAAAGGCGCCGGGGAAGAATGATAGTGTGGCGGAGGCGAGTGAGAAAGATTACCTGCAGAGCACGGTGTTTGGGGCGTTGGAAAACAAGCTATTTGGGTAAAAACACGACTGTGTTTGGAGCAGAAGGGAGGCTTCGTACAAGCGGATGCCTTTGTAGTTTGAAGGATAACATTGATGCATGCCAGGTGTATATGGTAATAGCCAGCATTCCGTCCGTGAAAAGCGTAAACGCAGCTTCAGGGACCACGCATCAGGGCTCTGCCGCGGTGACCTACCAGTCATCCTGGTGGCAGCCTGGGTGACCCGCCACAGTGACCCCGCCCCCGCCTCAGTGACCCCGCCCCGGCCCCGCCTCAGTGACCCCGCCCGCGCCGCCTCTGGGACAGATCGTGTGTACCGACGGGCGCCGGTCTGCAATCATGGAGGGTAAACAGCCATTCATCAGGGACGCCGTGTGGTGGCCCATCAGAGCCGGCTGCCGCGCCGGTCACAGCGGTCAACATCCGACGCAGCATCGGGTACGGCAGCATCGGACGCAACAGCAGGGGACACGATGCAGTGGTTAGGGTCACTGTTCCACGCAACAGTGTATGCAGGTTTTAATTCGTGCTCTCACAATTTGCATATACAATTAGCATTACCGCGTTTTCGTTGCCCTTTCTCTTCGCTGACTCACTCGTCGATGGTCATTGAGCTAAAGCACATTTTGGAAAAGTCCAAGCATTTAGGAAATAACATTTTGTTGCAACTACCTATTTTCAATAGAAAATTGGGATTGTCAGTAAACACCTTTATTTTACATCATCTTTAACCTGTCCATCTTTACAAGGACACAATGAACTGGAGCACAATGAACTGGAGCCTACTGAACTAAGTTCAGTGTGATGATCCTGGCAGTGAAGCGCTCGCTCCTTCGGCAAACTTTTACATAATCCCACCAGACAGCCTTGAGGGTCGCCGACGACACGTGCCTCTCGTCGTCTGGACCGCTGCTGATGACGGCCGCTTGACAGATCAGATCAAATCAAACTAGATCAGACCCAACCGAGCTCTCACCAGATCAAACGAAACAATGCCGGACGAATATTAAGATATTTCAAAATAGAAACAGATAAGAAGCAGATCACATGAGGGCTTCAAAGCAAACACGAGTCAAAATGTAATCTCTCGTCTATTACAAAGACCGGGTTTAAAATAAGGACATTCAAGGATCCAAGGCGCTCAGATGATATCGCGTGGACTAAGAGGCCAGATTACCTAAAGCTAGGTGCGAGGTTGCAGATGTGTCGGCTTTTGGATGAGTCGTGCTGATGCTCTTGTCGCATGACGGTCACGATTTGACGGCTACTGGGGGTCAGTCAGCGAGGCATGGCGATCGGTGCGATTTGCAGAACAGATTCAAGGAACATAACTAATTGTGCTGGTGTTACATAAATAAATTGACAAAATGTCGACAGTAAAAACTAAGGGCCCATAGTGAACGTCTCAACTCATACCAAGTCGCCGTCAATTCCTAAATCTGCTGACTGCTCTTCACAGCGCACACTACAGGCCGTATATTGCGGAGGCATCATTTCCGCCTCAGTGAGCGTATATTTGTCAAAGCTCGCATGTTCGACACGCAGGACCTATTGATCCCAGTGACACCCTGTTTGGGACGCCGTCGGCCCAGTGTCATTTCGCACACACGCGCCGTGGCTCTGAAATGATAGCCGACTCCCTGTCATATCTCCTCCTTCCAAATACCATCGACTTCAAGGGATCCCACGAGGCATTTTTGGAGCGCCGTGCCTTTGTTCTGTTCACACCACAGGCTGTGGCGTCTCCACGGCTAAATGTGACCTGTCAAACCTGGTATGTCTCCGAGAGCGGTCAATTCAGCGCCCCGGCTCGAGTGCCGGTTGCAAAAGTAGGCTGCACCAAATGGAGACCATCGATCTATATGGATCCGGGAGGCATCAAGAGCGGACTGAACGAGCGGGGAACTCGAGTTCTGATTCCAGCCGTCAGCCTGACGAAAGTCTCTCAGTACGGAGCATCACAGTCAGCTGTAGACCGAATCTGAGGCAGGCTGGTGGACATTGGCCGCAACTCATGGCGCCATCAATGTCTAACGTAGCCACCAGTGTTAAATGCAGGCATGATTGAAAATCAATGCGAGGGAAAGAGAGAGAGAGAGAGAGAGAGAGAGAGAGAGAGAGAGAGAGAGAGAGAGAGAGAGAGAGAGAGAGAGAGAGAGAGAGAGAGAGAGAGAGAGAGAGAGAGAGAGAGAGAGAGAGAGAGAGAGAGAGAGAGAGAGAGAGAGAGAGAGAGAGCAAGATCCGGCAGAGAGATCGCTCTGCCGCCATGAGCAGCAGCCTCCGTTCAACTTCTAATCGCGGCCACTGCAGTGGCACCGCCCGCCGGATGGCGAGGCAGTTAATTTGGCAAACGAGGCAGCTCGGTCGCTAACGAGTCGCAGTGGTCGCCGCCGGGGCGCAGCGACTGCCTCGGCGACCCCCGGGCGACGGAAAGGGGAGGAGGGGGGGGAGGGGCGATACCGGGCGACCGGCAACGCTAAACCGCCACTCATTCGGGGCTTAGGGAGTTGAGGGGGCCGGCTTAACCGGGGCTTGAACGAGGGGGTAGTGTCCAACGACCCTTTGGACGACCCTCCTAGAGCCTTGCTAACTGTGGCTTGTTCCGGGGGATATGTCGCGCTCAAGCGAGGGCTTAGTCGGTAACGAGCTGGGATAAGTTGAGGACGTGTTTTAGATTGGTTGCAGGGAGCAGGTGCTACATACCTACGAGTACCGTTTTGCTAAAACGGCAACTTTAAAGATCGGGAAGTGGTATAGTGGTTTGAAGCCTCGTCTAACTGCAATCGGCAGCATTGAATCGGAGAAGTCGGCATTCGAGAAATCATCCAGCGTTAATGTTGTAGAGTGCATCAAAGCTGTGCGCTAGGAACGCAAGATCCAGGAAGCAAGACAAATCAAAGCCGTTAATCAGAAAGCTGAAACATTTTTCCTTTCAAAAAACGTTAGCAATGAAGACAAATGACTTTTGGACATATTCCAAAAATGGCGTAAGGTAGATGACGATTCCCAGCAACGTCAAATCTCCCTTGTAACACAATGTATCTTGTAAAATGTAACAAGATGGTCATACCAGTTCTTTTGCTACATATTTTGACATCGCATACCAAAAGAGAAAAAATCTCTCAATCATCCCTGCCGACCTATGTAAACAGACCACTGAAACTTTCCGGGACATATCACTTGACAGTTACCTCTAACGAGGCAAAGAAGCCAGCAGCCTTCGTTTGCCTGCTAATCCCACCCCGCAGCCGACGTCCAACGGGCCAGCCTGCCAACTTCTCCGACTAGCCACGTCGGGCCGGGCCGAGCAGCCATCCAATGAATCTCATTCCCGCTCATTTGCCGGCGTGCCGCGGCCGAGCGCAGCACAGATCCCTTTAAGCCTTCGATGGCGTGCGCGTAAGCGTCGGGATTTCGAGTCGGGATAGAGCGGTCTGCACTGCAGAAACTCCAGCTCGTGGCTACGAGAAACGTCACTGAAAAAAAACAGCCAAGTTGTCCTAAACACAAACCAATTAGAGATTGACACAGGAAGATGGCTATCTCGGCAAATGTCATCAGCTCTCCATTTTTACCGTTTGGCTGGTCTCCAAAGTCACGTCGTTTCTCAAGTGGCGAATATATGACCACTGATGGCCAAACACCACCCTGACTCACACGTCAGTCACCTGGATAAACACAAAAATACGCAGGGTGCCAAGCGGTGACTCACGCGATTATAAATGCAATTGGCCAACTAAAGCTCCCCGAGCTCGATGTGGCCTAATAGAGATAGGCCCTAATATGTAGAGGCCTTCCTTTGATAGAGCGTTGCAGATCTCGCGGCAGGCAATCAGAAAAAAAAATTATTTTACGCACATGTGGGTGGCTGAAGAGTAGGTTACAAGTCTGTTGAAAGAAGAAATCCAGTAAATCCGAGAGAGGAAATTCATTCAGAATATCAGCGCTGAACACGTGGCGAGAGCATACGGAACATTCACACGTAGGCAATTGTTTCACGTAAAAAGCAAAAAAAAACGAAAAAATACGGAGGTTCATCGACACACCCTGGCTCAGCAGACAGTTCCCTGCCGGAGGCTGGGTGACGGGTGTAAAATGACAGTGCACATCCGACGAGCTGTCAGTTTCAATCGTCTCCAAACGACGGTACGCTGTCGTCAAGTCAGCAGCTTCCAAAAACAGCCCTCTGACGCGGCAGCTGACGCGGGGAGCGGGGTCGGGGGCAGCAAAACGACCGATTACGGTCTATCAGGGCCATATCCCCCTGCCCACGCCCGGGTGACGCCACTGCTGAGGTGGCCAGCAGCTGCTCAGAAATCGCACCGAGTCACTAAAGCAACAAACGGCCGGGATGCGGTGTT